TATTAAATTCGTGCAGCTCCGGTAGTGATGTAATCAGTACGGATGTTAATTTCCTTTTTTTAATACGCACTAACCTCATTAATTGAAGCTACTTCACACGATGGAGATTATCCTCAACTTCCAATAAATTATTTAGTCTTCTGTTCTCCTTAATTTCCGGACGACCTGGCCGCAAGGGATCTTCTGCATGCCCTGTTATTTATAAAAATCAAGGTATTTGATAGCTGTTTGGTTTCCTTCATATAAATTTTTCACTACCTATCTATGAAATCTCATGTCGCTCGAAAGAGTTATTTGAACGATCTCACCGTGATACTGTATATAAATTCAGAGTACTCGCTATGAAGGAGGGATCCTTAGATCCATCCATTCACGGGGTATCCAAGAAGAAATTTCAATAGCTACTCTTCAGCCTTAAGAAAACAAGCCTCGCTTCCACGGATAAAGGGACTTAAAGTTAGATGACGAAATTATAAGTAGGATTCGAGAACACATAAACTCTTTTAATACATCGATATCTAAAATTTTATTTTAAACACTATGTTTCTCCGTGTCCTATAAAATTTACAGGACTATATTCTGCAAGGATTTTAATATTTCATTTCGCTATTCGCTCACAGATACCTGTAATGCCTGTGGTGAATTTACGACGAAAAGTACATCTCTAGAAAGCGAAAGAAAAGGCAAATAATCACATTGACGTAGCATCATTGGATCGTGACATTCTCAGACTTCAGAACGAGAATAAGTTGCATAAAGTGAAAGCAGAGAAATAACGAAATCGGACACCGAGATTTTGTTTCGTTCAACTTACAATGGAATCAGGGCAAAAAGTTTCGATTGCCACAAGAAAGAAGTGAAGTCATCTGAACTTGCAGGGGAATTCTGCCAGGACTTGCTTAATAAGATGCCTTGCCGATTTCTGCTGAAAAATTCAAAGACTTGCAAGGTTATTGTAACACTTAGATTTTAGTAGTTTATCTAAACACTAAATTACTGTATTTTGTGTTGTTTTTTTCATTTTTACAGAAAACTGAAACTTGAACTGAAAAATCGATATTTTCTGAATAATGTAAAATTATTCAGGAAACAAGGAGCTGATTACCGCAATGAGTCCTTGTTTCCGTTGAAAATTTTGAATTTTCAGTGGTATATCCGAAAATAGCACATTATGCAAAATATTAAAACATTACATTACATTATGTACTTACAAATATCAAATCGAAAGTTAAATAGAATTATAATTTTTAATTAAATTTAATTAATTAAATTAATACTTAATTTCGATTTTCGATTCGACATTTTCACAATTTTTTGATCCACCCTATACATTTTCTGTTGACTGCAAAAAATGCGCATGAATGGTGGAGCATTTTCCTTGAAATCCAATTCGAATTTGTTCTACATTTTAGCTCTGCGCTTTTTATTTTTCTGTAAACTTTGGTTATTTATACCTTTATAAATCAACAGTACAATGCCCCAGTCACAGTTAAAAATATTAATAATATTGCAGGAAGTATAATGAACCATAGGAGTACTATAGTTATCCTGCAAATCCTAACCCAAGCAATACCTACCACAAGAAGACGAGATATAAACATGGTCATAACAATATCGTTAATATACAAGATGCAGAGAAATTAATTTTTAATTTTTAGCGAAAACTGTCCGACGGACTATAAGAAAATTTGGAGATGAAATCTGCTTATAAATAACTTCAAATGTTATACTTTTTTTAAGGAAATCGTTGCAACTGACTGTCGATGCACAAATAATATTTTGGTTAGCTACGTCGTCACTGCACTGGTTAAGTCGAGATCTTTTTTTTGTGAAAAATAAAATATATATCCAAAACAAAATATTAAGTTTTTAGTTACCAACTAGTGTCCTTCAGAAATTAGAAGACTTTTAAGTTTTAGTGAAACAACATCCTAAAAATGAAAATTTTATATTATTTATATATATTATTTATTTAAGTTTACGTACTTTGTAGAGCGGCTTAGTATTTTAAAGAAAGATAGACGAAAGCTGAAACTCTCTCACGACAGAGATTAACAGATTACGATACTGTCTATACCAAATTGTCCTGTATTTTTCAATTGCTGGTAATAATCTTTCAGATTTTTTTATCGACACACCCTGTACATAATCCAAAAAATGCACGAAATAAAAGTTATAGCCCTGTTATCTCCCACGTTTAGTGGTAGATGATTTTTAATAGGGTAAATGGTTTTCGAGAAATTACTTGTTTTCTGAAACAATGCAGTAGTAAATGATGTCATCGTGACATTGAGTGCAGTGTGTCTGATAGCAGAAAACCTTAAATGCAAAAACTGTAGCCCTCGATGCCGCCTAGAGACTGTATGAACCAAATAGACATATTTTCCACGGGTCTTGATTTACATCTAATAATTTTCTCTCAAAATGAACAATTTTTTAGATTGTTCCCCATATAATTGGAAAACCCTGTATATAATCCAAAAAAATGCTTGAAATAGAAGTCATAGTGCGCTTCACGGTGGAAGAATTTAGCTGATCGGCTAAATAGTTAATAATATATTTTTTTAATACTTCAGGACTTTTGACTCCTGCAACTTCTAAAGTTTAAATGTGGGTATGGACTTCTACGTCTCTGGCAAATCCGAAATCAACAGCTGCAAATTTAAGACACCTATTATACTTTTTAATATAGCGCAAAATGTCCAGAACACACTGTACAATATGTGAAAACTTCAAATACAAAAATTTTAACTGTCCATACTCTCGGTAAAGCTCTATAATACAAACTTGTAGCGAAACAAATTATGACGGTTTTCTATGTTTCCATTAGCTGCTTGTTATATTACAATTTGATGGAGGGCGTCCCCATGATTAAACGATAATAATCGTATCGAGCTACAGTTGGTAACGCCGGACAAGGAGATAGTTGTGGACCGGCATCTCAACCAATAGTTCTTATTTTTCTAGATCTTGTGTAATTTGAGATATTTTTCATATCGAGAGAATCTGTGGCCTGTTATATCGCCGTATTTTGTTAATACACTTTACTGGACGTTTGCCTGGTCTTTTGTTACCCTTTTGTTGTACCTGTTTCATTGTAAACCAACGCTGATTGCGAATTTTTTGTGCCGGCCAACCCATATACTCTCTCAAAAAGCGGATCGATCCAGTTTCGCTGCAAACTGACAACTGAAACATAGTTTGCTAGTTATTTCCGATTTGCAGTAAAAGAATTCATTTTTTAGATTTTTGCAAATTTCCGACGCACGTTTTACATTTGATCTGATTCTTAACGATTTTTAGATTTGGATCTCGTGCGTCTTTTCGTTCAAGAATTTGATGTCAGTAACCATTTTTGCGAAAAAAAATGTCTTTGGACCATAGCAAAGATGTATTTCATTTTTTTTTTAAATAGTTCTCGACGCTTTTGTCCCCCCAGTTTCAGTATATTTCGCTAGGGAACTAAGCGGAAAAAAAAGAAAATTGAGGAAAAAAGATGGACGGCACAGACATCTATTTCCTGGGCCAGTTAAAAGGACCCAAATTTCAGCATCTAAGCTCAAACCGTTCGAAAGTTATTCCCGTTTTTAGGGAGCATTGTCAAAGTGAAAATAGAGAACAAACAAAAAACAAGATTGCTTTTGAAAATCGTAGCTGGGCGGGGCAAGTTTGTAGCGTGCAACGCGAAGCAACTTTGTATTTCAAAAACAAGTCGCTTCTCGGTTCCTTGTAGTAGAGGGACACAATTTACGATACTGTTTAAACCAAGTTATCCCAGGTTTTATAGTTTTTCGCTAACATCAAATAATTTACCCACGAAAACGCCAATTGTCAAGATCTTTTTGATTTTTTGCCCACAATCGTTACATATAATTGAAAAAATGCCGAAAATAGAGGTTATAGCCCTGGATTCCCCACGTTTTCTAGTCAGTGAATTTTTTCAATAAAGTAAATTGTTTTCGAGCAAATATCTTTTTACTGAAACCATGCCGTACGTCGTAATAATGAATGACGTCATCGCGACTGAACTGAACGCGAGGAATAGAGATTTTTAGATGGATTTTTTCAAATATCTAGAGCAGCGTACGTGATAGACAAAAACAATAATTTCACGATCTTTCATTGTTTTGTCGATAACTGAAACACCTTGCATATAATCGAAAAAATGCGAGAAACAATAATTATAGCGCAGGATCTCCCACGTATCACGGTTCCAAATTTTTTTTGATCGGATGAATGGTGTTGGAAGTAAACATGATTTTCTAGAAGCCAAAATAACCACAAAAAAATCAAGAATTTTTAAAAAGTACATTGCGATATTGCATTAACGGTTTTCGATAAATGAGTCTTTTCTTAGACCCTTGCAAACACGATTTTTTGTTTTTTAAAAATACTTCCGACCCCTCAGCCCCCCCCCCCCCCCCCCCAGCCCAATTTCAATAGGTTCAGTTAGGGAACCAAGCTTCATATGTGTGTAAAATATTAATGTCCACAAATCAATCGAAAATCGAAAAAAAAAAATATTGACGCCCAAGTTTGGCCGCTGCCATTTTCACATATCTTATGCATCACGTGGACTGTTAAAATGGAGCAAAATTTTAAGCGTCTAGCTTATGCGATTCGGAATATTTTGTCAAATAATCCTGGAGCAGAGAAAGGAGATACGGAGAACGGAAAATGGACGGACAAAACGAAAACGTTTTTTCTTTTCGACTTCGATGCCATCTGTACCAACTGCTACGCTGTACGACGCACCTTTATCGAGATCATGTATCTAGTGAACAGCACGTATACTTTCGAAAAGAATCGATTCTAATTCTCTAAGACGCTCTAAGACGCACCGTTTCCGAGACATTTATTTCATCGATTTTTCGCAATAAGCTGAATCCCCCTTATATAAAACTATTCCGAAAACCTTTGAAAATGTGCTTACAATAGATACTGGTCTATGACTTAAAACATCGAACATTAATAAATATTAATTAAAAATTTATTTTTAGGTACACTGGTAGCCATTTCCGATGGCATGCATTATGGTTGGACGGCACCCGTAATCCCCATATTGCTCAACGAACAAACAAGGCCGTTTGAAACAACTCTACACGAATGCGAATGGCTCGAATCTGCGTTGATGATCGGGGCGTTCTGCGGTTTGCCGACAACTATCTACTTCGTCGACAGGATCGGGAGGAAGTACTCGATGCTGTTGGCGTCCGCCGTGACTTTCGTTGTGTGGATTGTGATCGGGGTGGCGAAAAATATGACGTACCTCTACGCGGCGAGATTCTTCGCTGGTATGGCTGGGGATATGGCGTTCGTAGCCGCTCCGATGTATATCGCGGAAATAGCTCATCCGAAGATTCGAGGGTTCTTGTCCAGCATCATCTACCTCATGATGCTGATAGGAATTTTGTTTGTTTACGCCATTGCACCGTTCGTGCCCTACTACGTACCCAGTATTGTCGGTGGCGCTCTAGCTTTAATCGAGCTAGTTACGTTTGCGTTCATGCCCGAATCTCCGTATTACTTGATCTTCAGAAATCTAAACGACGAAGCGAGAGCGTCGCTAGGCAAGCTGAGAAAGTACGACAGATCTGACGAAGTAGAAAAAGAATTCGAGGACATATGTCAAGCGGTGAGGAGGCAGAAAACGGAGAAGGGTAGGCCCCAGGATTTGATACTAATTCCGAGTAACAGGAAAGCGATACTTATAATGACTGTGCTGAACGGATCGCAGCATCTGAGCAGCATCAGCGTCCTGCTGATGAACTTGCATTTAATTCTCAACGAAGCGGGTTCGGTGTACATCGAAACCTCTTACGCCGCTATAATTTTTGCCGCCCTGATGTTCATCGCTGCGACAACGGCGTCGATGATTCTAGATCGATGCGGAAGGAAAGTTTTGCTGACCATATCGGCCCTTCTGACCGGCACCTCCCTGTTGGTCATCGCAATTTATTTCAACCTGATGGCAGCGGGACACGATGTGAAATCGATCAGTTGGTTGCCGATCGTTTCGGTTATGTGCTACGCGGCCGTTTTCAAATTTGGTTTAGGTATTGTACCTATAGTAGTCACTGCTGAAATATTTCCGACGAAGATGAAAGCGATAGGAATGACCCTAGCGGATTCGATGTACGTCCTGTTCGCTATCATTTCGTTGGAACTGTACGCGTGGTTACACGACGCCTACGGAAACCACGTACCCTTCTATTTGTTTTCCGCCTGTTGCTATTTGACAGCCCTGTTTACCATATTCGTGATACCCGAGACTAAGGGCAAGACTTTGGAGGAAATACAGATGTTGCTCAAAGGCCACGACAAAGAAGTGAGCGTTCATCTTCCCAAGTACGCGGGGGAAATTTATGGTTGAATTAATTAAACGACAGACGAGGTGGGACACCGAAAATGTTGAATAATTTTGGTTAACTGTAACATTTTTTTGTAGATTTCTAATTTTTAATCAGTGATGTAAAGTGTCATCCTTGGTCTATGCGTTAATGGTGTCGGATTATATTTTAAAAAATTTTCCAGTTGGAAAAAATGCTGAATAAGCTGGTATTTTGCACACAGCCCAGATTTAGCAAAAGTGTTTCAGAAATCTGTCACTAGAGGGCACTTTACCTAGAACATTTTGCAAAGATATTGCAAAATAGAGGAGATTGCAGAATCACAAATCCTCAAAACTCTTGTTATAAGTCGATAAGTGTTATCGTTTAGGCACAAATCGACTTCTTTATTCTCTGCCCGAATACCCCACATTTCTAATTTACACAAAGGTGATACAGGATATCGTGATATGCATTTCTGTTACGGAAAAACAAGCAGGCGACGTGCACTAAATATTTCAAAACAGAATGCTACAAATTAAAAAAAATGAAAAAATGGCATAAGTCTATAATATGTTTAATTTCAGCAACAATACATTTAACATTTTCGGAAACAAAAAATTATTAATAATAATCGGAATTAAACAGTATACAACGATAATTGCAATTAATTTTCAAAATGCCCACCGTTCATTTCTAAAAATTTTCCTATTTCAAATGATTTCCCACCGTTTATTATTTTTTGTCGGAGATCACTGATATCTGTTGTAGCTGTTTCGTACACTAAAGACTGTAAGTGCCCTCAAAAAAAGAAATCCATCAGATTTAAGGTCTGATGACCGAGGCGGCCTAGCTAGAGATCCGCCCCGACCTATTCATCGATGCTAAAATACCTGATTTAAATATCTTCGTACAGCGAATGTAAAATGTTTTGTCTCCACTGCAAGAGTACCTCTTCCAGCAAAGGTGGTAGTTCCTCTTGGAGAAATTGCAAATACATTTCCCCATTAGGCGACCCTTTAAAGAAATGAGGTCCTAGAAGTTTATTTCCTATAATCCCTGCCTATACATTTACAGAAAACTTCAATTTCTAGTCTAGTCCGTGAATAAAATGATATTTAAAAATTACGAGTAATTTAAAATTTTTATTAAAAATTGATGACATAAAATTACTCTCAATTGCTTATCAACCTCAAACCGTGCTTGAACCCTTTGAACATGAAAGGGCCGAACATCATTTTCATACAAAACTTCCTAAACTGTGGATCAAGCAATTTTTTCCTGAGCAGCAAGTTTTCTTGAACTCATTGATGGGTCAGCCTCCACATTTTGAAGTATTCTTCCTTTTCTTGCAGCGGTTCTTTTGTACCTTAGTCTCCCTTTATTCATATTATCAGGTTTGAATGATCCTCTTTTGGAATTCATCTATGTATGTTGATGAATCTTTTACAGGGGAAACATTTGTATTGGGATAAGCCTAGATATAAAGCCGTCATGCTTGATGTAAATTTCCATTTGCTCTTCTGTAGCAAAAATGCATATCGCCATAAACAGTATTTCAATATTTCTGATGGGTCATCACAGTAGCAGTAAAACAAGAGTAATAATTTTTGAAGATTTGTGATTTTGCTTAAGGCAATTTGTTCTATTTTGCAATATCAGTCCAAATAAATAAAATACAGGGAAAATTTAAAAAATATTCTAGGTAAAGTGCCCTCCGGTGACAGATTTCTGAAACATTTTTATTTGTATCGACAACTTTTGCAAAATGAGGCTTGTGTATAAAATACCAACTTATTCCGTTCAGAATTAAGCATACTGAATTTTGACAAGCTCGGACTCGGAAAATATTACGATTTCGAATTTTCGTTACATGATTTACTACCATTATTTTACCACAATGAATATTTTCTCCAAGTTTCCGAACTCAATTTCCGAACACCCTGCATACCAACACCAACGGTGCGTAAAAAGAGGCGGCGAAAATTTGGAAAAATATATATTTGAAATATTTGTTCTATATACAGATTGATTTTCTTTTTCTTCAAGTGCCTATTCGGTTAGCGTGTTGACCAATTTCAATGGTTTTTTAAACAAAAAAATCTTCTTCTGAGAAGTTCCTGTTTTCCTGGGATTTTTCCTTGTACTGTTTGCATCTTTTCTCGTTTCGCATTATGTGACCTAAGTATTCGAACTTGTCTATTTTCATTGTAATTAACTTATTTCCTTTTAGCATCCTACAAATTACTTCTTCAGTTTTCACACAGTCTACCTAATTCTAATATCATTCAAAAGATGCATTGTTTCATCGCTAAAGAATTTCAGTGTCTATTTGCCGTTAGGAGGATTGCGATCTTTACTTTATCTACTACGATGTTACTCTGATTATCTACTATTCTGTTCGTTGCTCTCGCTATATAAATTCTAATAGCTCCTTGTAATTTTTTGTGAACAGTATTCTTCTAATTTATTCGTTTTGGCATTTTAAATTTTCTTCTTCCTATTTGCCTGTGGGCTTTTAGATAGTCAATTAGTCGCATTTAGCCTAAAAATAACTAACACCGCTTGGCATTTCTCTCCACCAGAGTTTGTGACTGACGTTCTCTTCGGAAAAACTTCAACTCCATCCAGCTTCAGATGTGCTAAATAGGATTTATATCTTGGGTTCTAGAAGGCCGTTTAGTAGGACTCAAATTTTGAGGCTAGAGGAGGGCCAAGGCCTTACTAATAAAGTAATATTACTTAATGTAAGCACTTTGAAAAAATGAAAAAAGTTTAAAAAATTAGGGAAACTTTATTTTTGTATTAAACGCCACTGAAAGTCAAACTTAAACTGTATGGTGAATAAAATCATTGCATTTATCCGACGTGATATCAAACAGTAAATCATATCTCAATTTTTAAAAATCTTTTTTTAAAATTTCATAAGTCCTTTATTCCACGCCGCTGGTATTGCGCATTTTATTTACAAGTTTACAACGTCATAAACAACAATGCCTGACTCCTCATATTATCCAAGCAAGAATTTAAAATAATAATTTGACGCCACTGGCGCATTGCAAGAAAATCCAAAATCGGCACGGTTATAGCCAACCAAAATTAAGCGACTTTATTGTAGTCCCATTTCATCTGAAGTTAAGTTTAGTTTCAAAACGTTTTTGGCGTACAAGTTATTCTGAGAAAGCAAAACTTTAATGTTTAACGTGTGTGCTAAGTATCCGATATATTGGTCTAGCTTATTACTTGATGACTATTGTTCAATTTGACTAAACAGTTGAACGAACTCCAGTGAACTATGCTAAATTTTTAAAATGGCTTACGATAAAAAATATAGGAACTAATCCTCTAACACGATAGTACGTTCTATTGGTTTAAAAAAAAACAATTTTCTGACTTTTCCTTCTGGTGCTGTCTTCTTTTGAAGGTTTGCGATCATTTTGGCTATCTGTATTTTGGAGACCGCCGCGCGACATAAGGATCTGGTATTCTTTCCATACCACCATCTCAAGTTCTTAAGCCACGATATACATCTCAGTCCTGATGCTCGTCACCATTTAATTTTTCCTGTATGATTAGTTGAGCAAGTCTCATAACATGTCTGAAGTATTCGATGATAAACCCACATTTCAAAGGCTTCCATCCTTTTGCAATGCCATGCCTCTAATCCATAAAGCACGATCGGAAATATCACAAGGTGTAGTCTTAAACTTAGATTCAATTTTATATTTGTAAGAAGCGGTTTTATTTTGATAAATGCAATCTGGCTCTTTAAATGCGGATCCGTATTTCCTGTCCAATGTCCTATTGCTCAATAATCATATATTATCCGCATAGTGATTACTTTTCTTCTTTGACGGCATCAAATCTTAATAACTTTATTCAGACCTAAAAAACTGGTGGTAAATTAAAAATAAACTCTGGGTTTCACTGAGTTCTAGAAAAATCTTATTACAAAGTTACCAAACTTTATTACAACTTTACGTAACTTGTGACTTTTGAAAACGCGTTGGTCATGCGTTTTAAGGGCCACACACCGTAGAACGTGCTAAAGAGAAATCTGTGAAAGCAGACCTCAAGACATCTTCAAATTTCAGCTTGGCGATTTTGCATTAGACAATGAAGCAATAAGTTTGTAAATTTCATGTACCGGTTTAAGGCATTTGATATTTTGCAAGCAAAGCTAATTTATAATGTTATTTATGACTTTCAAAAACTGTAAAACAAGCATTTTAAGTCAATGCTTTTATATTAATAATAATAATAATAATAATAATAATAATAATTCTCAAACAATAAGCTAAACCCATCCATGACAATATTTTCTTGAAACGTAATTTATGGTACTCTCTAAGTGTTTATCAAACGAATCAGTATTAAATCTGCCTAACGTGCCTATTATTTTGTCATTAACTTCAAAGTCTGTGATAAATTTAGAAATTGACTTGAATAAATTATCTATGAATTAACGAGTTTCTTTTCCAGACCTGAATCATGAACGCAGCAAGTTGTGTTAATACACTCAATGTGATTACATGTTTACCGGCTTTTAGCCCACAAAATCAATTTTGTGAATTACTTTAAGTCGACTGAATTCGATTGATATGTAAATATGTGGAATAGAAACGGGAATGAAAAAAATCAGGGATATTGGAAAGCATAAAAGATATATAAATAAATAGTTAAATTATAAAAATGTTTCAAAACTAAAAAGTTATTAAAGTAATGTTGAAAACACAAACAAACTCCCAACACTTCCGTTAAAAAACTACGCCATTTATTAAATAGCATTTTTTATTACGAATACAACGATGTACGACCCAATATGATTATACTAAATTGTCAATCTATTGGCTTAGTAGGCCCTAATATGGTGATTAAAAAAATAAACATTAAATGATAATTAAATAAGGACATCATGTTACATGCGCAAAATGCTTAAAAACAAATAATTTACAACAAAAAAAATTAAATTATAAAAGACATTCAAGCAAGTCACCATTGTTTTTTAAACACAGATAACACCTTGTTTGTATCTGTCGAATTTCAAACGTTTCTTTATGAACTGTAATGTTTTAAAAGGGTTCAAGAACTAATCTTCTCAGTCGGCTCTCAGTGTCCAAAACTGCCTGGTAATGGTATATTATGCAACAAGTGTTGTTATAGGCTAGATTAACCCCAAATCAGAAAAATGCTTTTAGTTAAATACCTAAGATTAATCCACAGTATTTATTAACATAATTTCAAAGTGATTCCGGGACAAGGTTAAGCAATTAGTACCTAAAATTTCCATCTAAGCGTAGTTAATGTTAAATATTTTAGCAATTTGAATTGAAACAATCAATGTCGCCAGTGAAATTGAGCAAAACCATTATTATTTATTGGGATGAACACCCAAATGAATTTAAGGTAAAACGCCGCAAAAATTGTAAATAGTAACCGATAAATATTCCTAAAACTGATTTTATAGACATACTTTTTGTTTTTTTAGTGTTTCACTGCCGCATGCTCCATTTGTGCGTAGAAGGACGGGAAGTAAGGACGAGACGAGGTGAAACACAAAGGACTTGAAACTAACTTCTATCTTTTTGAGATCTGTGTATGTGCCTATTATTTGTCACCATAGTTTCGTCCGATCAAATAATCTTATGGGGAAAGTTTAGCATCTTTCTGACATTTCCTAGTATATCATCCGCAAAATGTCCTTCGAATTTCTTTATCATCAGATCTGAGCGCTTGACTAATTCTAAATTTGTAAGGGCGAAATTTATGTTTTCTTCATATAAAATGAGCAGTAGATTTCTCTATTCCAGTTGTACTTTCTATTCCTTTAACAGATTTACTTCTTCTTCATTGCAGAATTTATATCTGTACAAAACTGGTTCCATAGATACACAATGCTGCTAAAAAAGTTTGTATGTGTTTGTCTTCTCTCTGGATAATTATTACAATGCTATTTTTTATACTATTCTAACGGCATTGAATCTGGACGTATGTACGAGTAATACGTCCAGATTCAATGCTGTTAGAATAGCATAAAAAATAGCATTTTAGCATGTAGAACTTTCGTCCGATGAAAGAACATTATATTATGTAAAGAAAAAAAGAACCTGGACCAATACGAAAACATTTTAAATTTAATTAAAATCCTTTTGTGTGGTTTAAATAATATTTTATCGTGCATTGCTGTATTCGTAATAAAAAATGATATTTAATACATCATGATGATGATGATTTTGCTGAAACGAAACGTTCTACTTAAAATCTATCAACTCCATCACATAGAGTTTGAAAAGTAGTAACGTATTATTAAACAGAATATCCGCTATCATTATTTTTATCTTGGAAAAAGCTAAAAAATGATTTTTGTATAACTCGCCTTGCACTTATCATTTTGATAAAATTTAAGAATATTTACAAGAAACAGAAATAATCACACATTGCATTTTTTGCGGCGCTTTGAAATATCCCTAATAGAAAAAATAGAGGGGGTTATGGGCAAGATTGTAAGCAACACAGGCTATCCTTATCCTAATTTTGCTCCTATTATGAACACTTTAATATTACGAATGGGTTATCGGTAATTATAAATAAATAAATAAATTCACAGTGACAGTAATTTGCGCAGAAACAAAATAGAAACATAGAAAGAGAAAATGTGAGCAACTAGTTGATTAATTTTTTTTCCATTGCCGTCTGTAAAGTACCTAATTACCCGCCGATTGAGCGTGCGGGAAGCGTCACTTTACAACGTCAGTTTCGTTTCCTATGAAGCCACTTCGGACATTTCCGGGATGTTACCGCACGGATGTGTTAGCAATTGAATGTTTTTTTTTTGACGTTTGTCAATTCTGACGGTCATGTCAGTGAATATATTCGTATTGTTTTGCGAAAACGTACCCAAAAACTGACGGTCGTAGAAAAAATGCAGTATGCAAAACGTTCGGGAAACTTTTTAACTCACTCGTTTATTAAAAACTCGTGACTCAAATGCCGTTTACCGCACTTGTTTCATAATATATTATTTTCTACTCCTGTCCGTAAAATACCTAATTACACACCGATCTAACGTACGGGAAGCGTCACTGTACGACGTCAGTTTCGTTTCCCACGAATCCGAACCACTTCGGACATTTTCGGGATTTTACCGCCCGGGCTTGGGAGGCAATCGGATGTTTTCGCAGATATTTCCCACGCTTTGAATTTTGACGTTTGTCAATTCTGACGGTCATGTCAGTGAATGTATTCGTGTTGTTTTGCGAAAATGTACCCAAAAACTAACGGTCGCAGAAAAAATATAGTATGCAACACGTTCAGCAAGCTTTTTAATTCACTCGTTTATTAAACACTCGCTCCGCGCGTGTCAAATAAACTCGTGAGTCAAATGCCATTTACCATCTTTGGTGTATAATATACTATTAATTCATTAATCATAGTTCCGCAAGAAGAAAACCGAAACAGCTGCTGCCACTTGTTAAAAATTTTTATATTCATGTTACTGGCGAAGGTGCTAGGAAAATACCTACGTTAACTAAAGTCGCCCATAATTTTGTACCCAATGGCAGATGCTTCTTCAGTTTCCTACGAATTTTAAACTGATTATTTTTTGATAATTCAAGCCGCACAATAGCAGCTTATTAGTTTAAAAGTTAAAGAAAAAAGCATAATCTTTAAGCTTTATGAGTATCTCAGAGATAAATTATAAACAAGCAAACGAATATTAAAAAAAATAAAAAGTAAAGGAATATTGTGGTTTTTTTTTTTATACCAGAAAATGGTAATTCGTGTATTTTCTTTCTGGGAAACTATTCTCTGCACTTGTTAGGTAATGTCTGTCAAAACAATATTTTATCTTAGCCATTGTCATAAAATGAACCATAAAAACTTAATGTTATCAAAAGTAGAGTATTTAGTTTTGATACTGTCTTCAAAATTTTTGATATTTGATTTGTGACATTCTGAATATATGAAAGTTTTACATTGTCATACAGGGGTCATTTGCGGAGTTACCTTGAGTCAGTGGTTTTGGTGAAGTTCATTTTTTAATTGACAGTGTGATGTCTTGATAACGGAAATTGTTTGAGAAAAGAACTTAGGTGATATGTGTTAATTCCGGATTAAGACAGAGATATTGCTCTGAAAACTACAGAATTGATCACGAAGGATTTTTGGGCTAGAGGGTGATGTGATAATGCATTTAGATATCGAACCGTATGAGCCGGTATTATATAAATGGAATGCCACAAGGTTAGATCTAGGGAGGATAATTCCATTGTGAAATTAATGTTTGTGTGTATGGAGCTTAGATAATTGAAAAGTGTTTGAAGATATTCCTACCGAGGGGTCGCATAATGAAAATAGCATCTACCTATCGTCAGCATCATATGAAAATTTAAGTTTTACAGAAAGTGAAAAAAATATTTTTTACTTTAAAGTAATTTAACAATAGTAGTTTTCAATTTTATTGTTTGTGTAGAACAAATATTGACAAATATTATAGAAAAGTCATTTTTTAATTAAGTTGCGATAAGATGTTGGACCATCATCAATCACATGAGAAAATGTTAAATTTGTGCACTTACCCAAATTTAATTAACGAAAAAAGGTCATTATAAAATTTAAAAAAAATGAACGATTTTTTCATTGGATCTTTTAAAGAAACAAAAATATGGGACATATTATTAAAGGAGGACATTATTGAAAATGAACGCCTAATCATGTTGAAGATTATCATAAAAATATGGTAATCTGGCTCTAGTGTACTTTTAAGGGATTAGAGCTGTTCCATTTTAAAGATTGTTTTTCTTTTGGCTTCAACGATTTTTTTCAGTGTTTGTTGTTTGCTGACGTTTTTCTTATCGTTTTGTTGGCTTGTTTCGAGCTTATCTGAATATGATTTGCATTCTGCTCTCTACCTGCTCCTATGCTGTTTAGTTGATTTATTTCCTATTTTTTAAAAATATATAAACGAAATTAACTATATTCGTTAGGGGTCAGTAATATCATAAAAAGGGGATAAGATACAGTTTCTGCTTTTGGGAAATCCCGAAAAGCTAGAATATCTCTTTCAATGCTCTCTCGTCAATAGCTGTATGGTGATTATTAGAAATTAATGTTTTGAATTGTTTATTTAAATAAAAGGAGAATGGCAGAGGATTTTTTAAAATTAGAATTTCGATCTGATCATAACTTTATTCCAACTTAATTGACTACTAGGAAAACTTGAAGCTAAAGTCTTACTCAATTAAAAATTACAGCAATCCTTAGACTATAATTACTTAAACACTTAATTACATTCATGTACAATTCATGTACACTAATAGCACTGTACTTTGGTATTACACTGACACTTAAAGTAACTCGTAGGGGTTGGTTCTCTTGAGTCTCCTCAGTAGCATCGTGTGGTCAAAATGCTGTACGGCTTTAACAGGGTATAACTAGGTATAGGATTGGGTCCCGTACACTGCCT